CAACATCTGCATTATCTCCAGATACTCAAGCTTGGGGGACAGATTGACATGCCAGCAAGTACAGAAGCCACAAGGAACACATCATTGAGGAGACAGGGAAGGTGTTCCCACAAAGTAGGAACCACTTCCACATGGGGAAAATCAAATAAGGAATAAGTGAGTACGCCAAGCCATACATTATGAGCCAGCAGCCAGCATTCTTCAGGACTAACCAGCCCCACAGACATAGCCACAGGACTTACAGACACACAGATGGAGCCTGCTTCATCAATGTGACCTTAGCCCAGCTCTCTTTGGAATAGAAGCCTAAAACACATCTTGTAAAAAAATGCTAATGGAACTTTGTTCCCCTTGGCACTTATAAACAAATGTTTACTATACTGATTTCCATTCACTCCATTTTGTTTATTCCACGTATCCTGCATGTATCCTAACTCTCCCACGAGCCTGGGGCATCCTGGAGGCAGGGACATTTCCTCCTCTGCATTGCACAAAACCCAACACAGAACGAACATATTCAATAAACAGTGCTAAAGCGGCTCCCCTCATGGTTTAAAATGAGTCCCCAGTGAATTTCTTCCTTAGAGTTCTTCTTGTATCTGAAAGTGCTAAGGAATCTCCTTGCTCCTAGGAAATAATGTTTTCCCTCACATTTGTTTTACTCTGACTAGATCCCTCATCTTTCTAAAATCTCCACATCACTTTCTCACTCTTGGCTCGACGGATACTGGCTATTCATGTAAAAAAGCATTCCTCTTTACTTCAAAATCTAGCTCCTGGTAGGATACTAATGAACATGTCTCGAGTGAAACAGTTTATGAAATCAAAGGTCTAGTTCCTAACCTCAAGTAGTTTCCAAGTGTTCAGGCTTCACGATTCATTACCGTAGCCTAGGACCCGGGGGCCTGCCTAAATCACTAGCCCCAACTAAACTGTTTTGAGATATTTCGACTTTATTTAAAAAGACCCAAGGATCAGGTCTTGTTAATTGTAATTCCCTCCTTCCTGGCATTGTTCACTGGTGGCTGTAAGCCTGCAACCTACATACATCCCAGGCTGGGTTGGCATACCCGCTTATTGCTCTGGCTCGCCAGGAAAGGGAAAAGGGTCTGCCTGGGGGACAGAGGTCAGGGTCCGTAAGAGTCCTGAAGCAGCACATAGTCTTACCGCATCAAACTCTGCTTGATCATCCTCAGGTAGGTCGCTGGTTTCATAAACATCTGGCTCGTTCCTGGCCTGCAGACAGAAGCAGTGACCACCCTACCTCACTACCCCGCATCCACCAATACCCCTGACCCACTCCATCTGAGCAGGCTAACAGAGAAGGCAGGCTGTGCGGCCAGGATTCGGTCCCTTGTCTTCCCCCTGCCCAGTGAACCCTATGCCAGTTCCCATGTCTTAAAGGCTGGGGATGACAGGAGGCACAACTGGGACCTCATGATAAGTGGTGAGTGTCAGTGATGACAAAGATGTTACCCTGAATCTGACTGGGGGCAGACCCTTGGCAATCATTACGTCTGAGGTAGAAGAGGGCTGTCTTCGCCTTAGGCCCGTATCCCACTACCCTGGCACACAGGTGGAGAGTGACTCAGGACCTTAGCCCTTAAGGTACTGTGGCCCAACCCCCACCCTTGAGAATGCAGGCAGGGCAGCCCAAAAGGAGGGTAACAGGCCGGCAGGTGCGGGCGGGGGGGGGGGGGTGATGGGGGCAGAGTTCTCTATCGGGCACAAGAAGGCTGCTGCCGCGGTCACCTCCTCTTCGGCAGCGTGTTGGCCACACCAAGTGGCCTGGTACGTGTGTTCGGGTGGGGGTGGGGGAGATCTGGGGAGACACGGGTGGTGCTGACACGCACGGCAGGAACACTCGGGCGCAAGTGGTAAGCGCCCCGAGACGGTTTCTGGGCGGAGAAATCGGCGAGGGCCGGGAAAGGGGCCTGGTAAGCCACTCCGCGACCGGCCAGGTCGGGAGGGAAGAGTCCGGACGGTGCTGCGGGCCGTCGGGGAGCCGGGGGCGGCCCGGGGCCAGGCCGGGCTGCAGGCCGGGGGGTCACGGGGCAGCGCCTGACGGGGGTCCTCGGAGGTCGGGGTGCGGCCCTGGGGAGCCGGGGCTGGCCCTGTACTCACAATGCCGGGAAGGTCGGCGTATTTGGGGTCCGCCATGGCGGCGGCGAGGCGGGGTTGGGGGACCGGGGCCTCGGTGGAGCCGGGGCCGGTGTTCGGGTAGGGGAGAGGCTGGGTCCGAGTCCCGGGCTAAGGCGGCGGCAAAGGGAGCGGCGGAGGAGGCGGAGGAGCGGGAAGTCTCGCGACAGGAGTCGCACAGGAGAGAGACGGGGAAGGCAAAAGTCGCGAGAACAGCCCACTACCACACCCCTAGAGAGGCCGGGATTGGCGAGAACGCGGCCAGGGAGTGAGGTAATGTCGGGGGACGCCGCCTAGGATTGTGGGATTTGTAGTCTTGGCCCATTCCCCGCTTGGACGGAGAAAGACAATAACGCACCTTGGGGAGTTATTTCACATAACTTCTTTTCTTTTATTTTTACATCAAGTCTCTGAAACACATTTTATAATTCCTGTTTTTCAGTTGAATACATTTGGGTTTCCAAAGATTAAATGACTCGATAAAAATAACGCATCCTGTTATGCCGTGGCACAGACAGGGCTTCAAAAACAATAATAGCAAGTAAAATTTAGTAAAAGCTTAGTCATGTTAGGAATTTAAAGGTTAAGTAATCTTCTCGAGTTGGAGCTATCAGATAAAATACAGGGCACCTAATTAAATTTGATTTTCAGATAAACAACTACTAGTTTTCTTTAAGTATGCCTCAAACCATATTTGGGACAAACTAACACACATACACTATTAGTTTTTTTTTTATCTGAAATTCAAATTTAACGGGGCATTCTGTTTTAGTTTTTCAAACCTGGCAGTCTTATTTCAAGCTCAGAAATAGTCAAGTGGTGGCTGTATGTCTGTCTGAACACCCCCTGTGCTCTTATGCACTTCACTAATAGTTTTCAAACTTCTGAATTTCACAGTTCGATAAAATTAAAACAACAGCAAACCTTTTTGAGGATGGACATAGCATTGCTACCTTTTAATTTTGCCAACTAAGTGCATTAAAAAAGAAAGGCTATTGTTTTTTTTAATTTTTATTTATTTATGATAGTCACAGAGAGAGAGAGAGGCAGAGACACAGGCAGAAGGAGAAGCAGGCTCCATGCACCGGGAGCCTGACGTGGGATTCGATCCCGGGTCTCCAGGATCGCGCCCTGGGCCAAAGGCAGGCACTAAACCACTGCGCCACCCAGGGATCCTGAAAGGCTATTGTTTAACCATCATTTCTTACTAGAAAAGTAGGAAGAACATACTCTCAATAAAGTCCTTTGACACTTTGTAAGTCTAGCTTTGTGAAAAACCTACTGCATTGTGCATGGGTGGGTTTTCTTTTGGGGGGGCGTACCCAGTAGTTTTTGTCCCCGACCCTTGGTAGACAAGCTTTTCCCCCCTTTTTTTTCTAGATAAGCATTTTTGTTTGTTTGTTTTTTGAAAGTCCATTAAGGCTACCACCCTGGAGTCCCTGGGGGCCTGAGTTTGGGATGTTTTCCAGAATGTTTCCTGAGCTTGCAGGATGCTGCAACACTTAGAAATAGTGCCAGACCAAGTGACTGGAGAGATGCTTGTGTTCCTGAGTTTGGGAACTCATTGTCATTCTATGCATACTCTCCTGGCTGCTCCCCAGACCTCTACCTCTGTTTCTACGTAGTCCTCCTGGCTTGTCATCCAGTTTCTTGCGCTGGACCCATTTCCTTCAATTTCCATAAGACTCAAGGTGGATGAGAGGTATAGGCCTGATGTGGGGAAGCCCTCAGCTGAGTTTTGAGTGGTTAGCTCTTGTCTGATCAGGTCACCATCCTCTCACTCTTGCCTCACAGTGTCCAAGTGACCTTAGACAGTTGCTAGGGAGAACCTCCATCCCCTCCTCCCTTCTCCCATCACCACACTCCTTCCCTTGGCCTGGAGCCTCAACTCTTGCAGTCCAACTCTCTGTTGGCCAGCAGAGGCCTGTGACGTGGGGCAAAAATCAATTTGGCCAGCTTCTAGGTGGTTCTGCCCAGGGGCTGCAGCAGGAGTCTGACCCGAGGGGAGGGGAAGAAGGACAAAGAATCTCTAAGGCTTGGCTTTTTTTTTTTTTTTTCTAGGTAAGGGGGAGAAACAAAGCAAGCCCTGAGAAAGGGGCCGGGGTGTTGGGACTCTGTCCAGTGGTAACCTGCACAGGAAACACACTCACATAGGCGTGGAAACCTGTCTGAAACCTGAATGCAGATGTCTGCCCTGTCGGTTCTGTCTCAGGGCTCCCGCGGCCTTCCGCATCCTCACCATTCCCTCTCCTTCACTGTTCGCTACCTCCTTTCTCCTGCAAAAGCTTCTCCTGCCCACCTGCAGCCCAGCCCCAACCTCTGAGGCAGGAACGAGAATTTCAGGTGTTTCTGAACTCTGGTAGCCCACAGTCGGCGGGGGGGGGGGGGGGGCGGGTGTCTGCCTTCACAGGGGAGACCTGCTGCGTGTTCTGGGGACAGAGCGCACCTGCGGACGGAGAAGGGGAGGGGGAGAGCCTCTGCCCCGACACTCCTGTCTGAAAACTAGGAGCTGGCGCCCGCCCCCACGGGGGTGCAGGCAGCTGAGTGGGCTGGGAATCGGCGTGAGGGGGCTGGGGACGGGGAAGGCCAAGCGTGCTCCCGATCTGGAGAGGCTGGTGACGGGGCGGGGCGCGACCCGGAATAAAAGGGGTGGGAGCGCCGTGGACTCCCTTCCCGACGCGGGCGCCGGGCCCACCGCTGCCCCCTCCGTTCCCAGGGGGCGCCCCGAGGGAGGGCCGGGCCGGCCGCGGGGCTGAGGGCGGGGCCCGGGGCGCGCGGCGAGCGGGGGCCCCGCGCAGGAAGCCCCGCCCAGGCCCGCAGCGCGGCGCCGCAGCGCGAGGGGCGGGAGGCGGGAGGCGGGAGGCGGGAGGCAGAGCGCCCGGCAGCAGACGCCCAGGTCGCCCGCGCCCCGCGCCGCAGGACGAGCCCGCGCGCCGGCCCCGCTCTCCAGCCCTCGCCCGGGCGCCCCGCCTGCCTCCCGGCCCCGGACGGCGAGCCCCCGCCCTCGGCCTCGGCCTCCGCTGAGCCCCCCGGCGCCGCCCCTGCCGCCCGAAGCGCCCAGCCCGCCGCCGGCCCCGCCATGGCGGAGACCAACAACGAGTGCAGCATCAAGGTGCTCTGCCGGTTCCGGCCCCTGAACCAGGCCGAGATCCTGCGGGGAGACAAGTTCATCCCCATCTTCCAGGGGGACGACAGCGTCGTTATCGGGGTGAGTGTCGGCCCGGGAGGGCGACGGCCCCGCGGCGCCCGGCCCCCCTCGCCCCTGCCGCGGGCGCTGGGTGTGGCCGGCCCCGCGCGGCCGCGTTCCGCAGAGCGGGCGGGGGCCCCTTCCTCGCCGGGGGGCCCGACGCCCCGGGCCGCGCACCCCCTTGCCGCGGGGCCAGGCCCGTGTTTTTCTCCTGTTCTCCGTCTCCCCGAGGGAAGCGCAGCTGCCCTTTGTTATTGGCTCAGATCTCTACCCCCACCTCCCGGGAAGGGAGGGGGAGGCCAGGGGACGGGCTGCAGGGGAGGTGGGCAGTCGGGGTCTGGGCGGGAGGGGGTCCAAACGAGATCGGGCTCCAGGACCAGGCCTGCGCGAGCCCCCGAAGGAGGTGCAGCCTAGACTGGGGCGGAGGGCGCAGGGCTGATGGGTTTGCCGAGAAAGGAATACCTCGATGCCACACCCAGTCAGGGAAGGGGGCTTTGGGGTCCTAAGGAAATGTCTGCCTTTCCCTCCTCCAGGTACAGTAGGAAGAGGATTTCAGACACCCCAGTTCCCCCTAACAAATAAAAATAACCAAATCCCGAGGTCTTAATAGTACTTGCTTATTCATCCTTTCTCTTGATGATCCAGTAAAAAGTAGCAGGCTGTCTACCTCATCAGGCCAGCTCTGCCCTTGGAGGAGATCTTATTAAGCAGAACTAATAGTTACTGTGGTTTTCTTACTCCGCATGTATTATTTGTCCCCCAAAACAGCGCTCTGAAGGAGGTATTAATATTTCCATTTTACAGATGAGGAAATTGAGGCCCAAAGAAGTTGAATGACTTTCTCAAGGTCACCCTATTAATTCATGGATCTGAACCTAAACCTATAACTCCAAAGCTCCTGGCTTTTCCTCTATATCGCACTGCCTCCGCAGATTTCTCTTCTCGACCTTTATCTGCGATGGCCCAAAAGGAATTCCTAGGAAGTTCCTTACCCTTCCTTTCACAGGTTGGTAGGGATTGTTAGGCTATGGGGTGAAAGGATCTGAGGTCAAGTCCTGTAGGGCTTGAGGGGTGCTGGGCTCTCCAGGGTACTGTAGCCAATTTGAGAAAGGAGGGGCACATAGGACGGCTGTCCTCAAGGTCAGGAGCACTGTTTATATATCTTTGGTCCACGGTGCTTGGCACAAGGCATGCTTACTAAGGGAATGAAGGAACGATGGGGAGGGAGCGTGGGCCCTCTGAATCAGTGAGAATGGGACTTTGAGTAAACATGCCTTAGGAAGAGCCTGCTTACGTGTCCCATCCCCAGGGGCTCCAGTCTGTCACCATGCTGAGCTGTCACCCACTGAACTCAAATGGGTGCTTCTGCCTTGCGTGTGTGCTTACATATGTGTGTGTTCACCACATAGAGAGGGCCACTGTCTTTGCCTCAAGGACCTTAGGCCTTCCAGTCTGGTCAGTCTGGCCACGCTAAAACAATCAGTTCTGGGGGCTTCTTTCCAAGTAGTCTGGACAGCAGACATTAGCTGTGAGAGTTGGAGCTCGAGGTTCCCCTGAGACAGGGAGGCTGAGAAACACGAGGGAGGTGGTCACAGGAGAGCACATCCACAAAAGGCTTCTACGTTGCAGCCTAGGTTCCTTGGTTTAGTTCTTTCAGGTAAGTCTGACCCAACTCCTTTAGGTTCTCGGGCCATCCTGGTGTGGTGGGCCCGTGGCATGGGGGTGATGTTGGGAGAAGGAGTGGTGGTATTGATCTGTCCAATTCGCTAAACGGGAAAGACAACCGTAGAAGGTGGAGAGGGGGAGAGATTGAAGAGAGGCCCAGGGCCCCCCTGCCAATTCAGATTCTTTGTTAGTTCCACAGCTACTCCTTCCTTGCCTGTTTTGCCTGATATTTGCAGGGCCGCACCTTTGTCTCACTGTGTATCTTCATTTGCCCCAGCCCTTCCTGTCAATCTCTTCAGCTGAGGTAGATGCTTATGGGGGGCCATTTTGTCTCACACAGTGTCCTTGGAGCTCGTGCGTTCCCAGCCTATTCATTGTTCATTTGGGAGGAGGAAGGCTATAGGAGAAGGAATTTTAAGGCAACACTTGAGGGTCCCAACGAGGAAAGGAAATCTCGTACCCCCCTCTCCTCTTTCCTCCTCTAGCTCCCTTTGGGGCTCAGCATCTGAGGAATTAATGGAGGAAGCTGTTCCAGGAAGGTGAGGGAAGAGTGAAAAGGGAGACAATAGTCTCTCCAAACCCAGCCCCTGCTCTTTTCTCCAGTGGCTCTCCTCTCTGCCTCTGCAGCACTGCGGCTAGCTCAGGGCTTCAGAGTCTCAAATGTTCCTGGGCTTTTTCTGCTTCGTAAAGGGTAGGAGAATAAGCTGGAAAGACAGCTCTTTCAGCCTTATTCCACCCCCACTCCCCTGACTTCTCCCAGGAATCTGGGGGATGGGGCTTAGCCAAAGTTAATGGCCTGAGTCATACTAAAAGGGTGTCTGGGTCACTGTCTGTGTGCTGTGTACCTTGTTTTGCTCTTTATGTCACTCAGAATCCAGTGTGACTTTTTACTGGACCCGTTTAAGTGTCTTTCTGCCTTGGTCTTGGTGGGCAGAGTGTCCTGGTGTCTGCTGTCTGGGCTGCTGCCTCCCTACCAGGTATGGGAGGGATGACAGTAACGGAAGACACGTACATTCTCTCTCCCTCATTCATTCAAGTGTTCACCATATTCTTTCTCCCTCAGGTCCCCTAATGGGTTAGTGGGTTCTTAAGTAGACAAAAATTCAGGAGAATCAAATACCTCATTTGGAAAAGCTAGATTGGGACCTGGCAGGATCATTGAATTAGAGTCAGTATTGTTTGCGGTGGCCCAGGATTCCTTTGATACCTGAAGAGGGGGAGCAGGTCTCCCTTTGGGGGAGTCTCATAAAGGGAAATGGAGAGGGGAGGTAATGTTCATCGTGGCCAGTGTCTCTCCAGCATTACCATGGCAACCATCCCCAGGGGTATCACCATGGAAATCAGGCCTGGTGCTCAGAAGTTCAGCCTCTACCAAGTGCTTTACTGAGGGTTAAAAAGGTTGGACATCCTGGGACCCCTCATCTTAGGCCCTCCCATTAGCTACAGTCAGCTCATATAATGGAAAACTGCTGAAAGGTGCTGAGAGATACAAATGAACAGGAGGCTTGGAGGGGGTGGTGGTTTAGGAAGAGCAGAGCCCTGGGCTGCAGGACTCTGAAGGGTGGCTCTCTGGAGAAGATTGTGAGGAGTGCTTAGATTGCTGTGGGTGGGGGAGTGAACCTCAGGGGTCTCCTCAAAGGTGGAGGGTCTCTAATGAAACCAGTCTTCTAGTCTTTCAGTCTCCAACGTTGACATGGTGAGGGGACTTCCTGGGGGAGGATGGGTGAGAGAATCACATACTTATTAAGATGGGGTTGAAGTTGGAAAAAGGGAGTGATGAAGGGCTTCAGTACTGTCCAGAAACATTTGAAGAAATGTCCAAATGCGGGGGAGGGGGGTTGTGTGGGGAAGGGGAAGGAAAAGCCGTGATAAGGATCTGATGCATTGTTCAGGCACTTCAGCTCTTGGATCACTATAGCGCTGTGGGTAGATTCAGATTGCTTGGGTTTAAGACCCGTGCGCTACCATTTCTCAGCTGTGTGTCTGTGGGTAAGCTACCTTACCTCTTTGAACCTCAGTTTCCACACCTATAAAATGGAATAATAATAGTACCTGCCTCATAGGATTGCTGTGAGCATTAAACAAGATAATACATATAAAGTGCTTAGTGCAATGACAGGCATGTAATAAACTTCTGATAAGAATTAGGTGTTATTATTTTTTTATATATGCTGTTTCCTTATGAGCTAGCCTTTGACACACTGGGAAGTACTTAATTAACATCCCCCCCCACTTTTAAAAAGATTTTATTTGAGAGAGAGAGAGAGTGCACAAGCAGGGGGAGCAGTAGAGGGAGAAGGAGAAGCAGGCTCCCTGCTGTGAAGCTGGATGTGGGGCTCCATCCCAGGACCCTGGAATCATGACCTGAGCCAAAGGTAGATGCTTAACTGACTGAGCCACCCAGGTGCCCCAACATTTCCCCTTCTTACTGGTTATTTCATCCAAACATCTAAGTCTCTAGTATTTTCTTGCTCTCTTCCTCCATCAATATCTGTGTTTTTGGCAGATATTTATGAAGAACATCCTACGGGCCAAAGACTGTGCTTGATATCGGGATTTACAGGGAATCCCTGCCTTTAAGAAACTCTTGGTCTACATGGTGATCCAAGCTGTGGAGTGGTCAGGGCAGAGGCCTGAGAGGGGGCCTCAGAAATGGCTTAAAAAAAATAAGTGGTTTTTGCAAGTTATACACACAACCCCCCAGACTTTGGTAAGAAATCTGCCACAACACACTACAGTCCGACTCAAAGTAATTGTGTGTCATGAGAAACATAAATAGTGGTGATGCTTCCCATGTGAATAGTCTAGAGGCAGAAAAGTTAGAAAACCACTGGTCTAGTTATTCTTCTCAAAAGATCTGACAAATTCATCTTGGGTATAATCAATAGCAAATTAAGAAATTTACAATATAGTAAATGGTGAGGAGCTCTGAGGAGGGCACATGATGAGATGAGCACTGGGTGTTACACTCTTTCAAGTTGGTGAATTGGATTTAAATAAAATATATATATTTTAAAGATTTTATTTATTAATTCATGAGAGACACAGAGACACAGGCAGAGGGAGAAGCAGGCTCCACGTAGGGAGCCCGACGTGGGACTCGATCCCAGGTCTCCAGGATCACGCCCTGGGCTGAAGGCGGTACTAAACCGCTGAGCCACCTGGGCTGCCCTAAATAAAATATTTTTAAAAAGAAATTTACAATGTGACAGAAATAAAAATCTTAAGATAAAGTAATGAACTAGACTTGGAATTTAAGGGCCTAGCAAAGAGTAGAGAAGTGCTAACAGGCCTTTCCAGACCCCTGAAATAACAATCTGTGTCTGGCTTTCCCTGCTGATGAGTTTACTAAGTGA